CACTTCAAGTCTCGCAAATAAATTCTTTCTGGATGAAAAAATACCAGTTCTCAAATGGCCTTGACAGTCTCCCGATATAAACCCCATTGAAAATATATGGGAATACTTAGATAAGCAAATACGAGATAAGGATGAACTTTTTGCCGCTTTAGAGCAAACGTGGAGACAGATTGATGAATCTCATATCAAGAAACTTCTACAATCTATGCCGAGACGATGCCAGGTGGTGATTGATAATAATGGTTATGCTACAAAATATTAACACAAACGTGGTTGGTTTTCTATAATTCAATGAACTTTGCTTCTTTTTTCTATAATTGTTTTGCTTTGTCTATATATTTTTGTCCTTCATAGTTCCAGTTTTTTCAATTAGTTTTTTATTGAAGGGAGTCTAATGAATTTATTTATGTATAAGTGAGTATTATGCTGTAACGAATTATGTATACAGGTTGATGTATTAATAAAACAAGTTAAAAAAGAAATACAGCACAATATTAATTTGTGTATATACTTTTGTCCATTACTGTATGTCTATTTACAGCGCCATGTAAATAGAACACTCATCCGAGAAACAAATATTAAATAATAGACAGCTCAGGGACAAGTTTTATCTTGTACTAGTGAAATTTATACTGTTTCAAAATACTTTGTACTGAACGTGTAAATCTTGAAGAAGTATCCAGTACACGAGTGCTTTTAGTCTAATCATATTTGAGGAAATAATTGTAAAGTCTGGTTTTATTGCTGCACGTTGTTCAAGGTTGTATTCGAAACATGGAAGCATAAAAAGGATAGACTAATTTTTCTGGGAAAACTTTTTATTCGAAAACAAAGAATGTGTTTTTTGAGATTCACTAGAAAGTTTTGGCAGGACCGAAAAAACTCTTCATATAGGATTTTTAGGTATTTATCAGATCTACAAAATGAGACCACACGTAAAAAGACAAACTGCAGGTTTTGGCACTTGTTGGTAATGCGACGATGGTTTGTCGCAGATATTTGAAATTCTTCAAAATTGTAGGATTCGTACTTCTAAATAACCACAACAAAATTGGAGTAGATTGGTCAAGTAGTTTTTCAAAACACCTATTTTCCGGCCATCACTACTAGTTTATTGAGGAATATACAGGGTTAATTTCAAGGGCATTTTATTGCTAAATACACTAGTTTACCTGGCCGATCTGGATCGCAAACCATTCCGGAAGATAAATGTTGTTTTTACGCAAAAAAAGGATGAGTTACGTTTTTTTTTCTAAACAAATTCAAACATTTCGTACTTGTGAGTAATTCGCGACAAAAGATCATATACACATCCACTTTGTTTAAAAATATGTTTAGTACTTTATGTTTTTCGAATATCGTAGCGCATTTGTTCAATTAGTCACAAATACGAACTGTTTGAATTTTTTTAGAAGAAAAAGAAAACGTAACTTTCGTTTTTCGCATAAAATAAGATTTATCTTTCGAAATGGTTTGTGATTCATATCCGCACGGTAAACACGTGCATTTTGCTATTAAATGCTCTTTGAACGAATTCTGTATATTGCTCAATAAACTAGGAGTGATGGCTGGAAAACATGTGTTTTGGGATAAACAATTAGAAATTCTCAAAAAATTACTTGACCCATATATTCCAATATTGTTGTTATTATTTAGAAGTATGAATCCTACGGATTTGAAGAATTTCAAGTAGTTGCATGAAATTATCGTCGCATTACCAACAAGTGCCAAAACCTGCATTTCGCCTCGTTTTTCGGCCATAACATTTTTGCTGTTAGTCGGATCTTTTTACGTGTTGTCTCATTTTGTAGGTCTCATGAATACCTAAAAATCTTATAATAAATGTTCCTGTCAACACTTTCGATTGAATCCCAAAACACACGTTTTCTCATTCTTTGTTGTCAAATAAAAAGTTTTCCTACAAAAATTGGTGTACCTATTTTATGCGTCCATGTTTTAAATACCCCCTTGAACAACTTGCATCAATAAAACCAGACTTCACAGTTATTTCGGGGAAATTTGCTAATATGACTAGACTATGTGGGTGTCAAGTGCTACGTGTCCCAAAACTGCTATTTCTGCGGCTTCATTTCTAACTGGTCGATTTTCTTGATGGCGATTACGGCGAATTGTAGACACATATCTAGTTTCTTCAAATTTTCTTATCAACTTAGTCAGATACTTATCGTTAATACTTTTGTCTGGATGTAAGGCATTAAACGACCGGGCACTAGCCCTTGCAATGCTGCCATTTTGGTAATACAGTTTTGTTATTTTCACCCTTTCTTGAATTGAATAAGACACTGCTCAATATTTATCACACCTCGGTAGGTAACTTAACAATTTGAAATGAACGTCTGATGCATTCCAGTATTATCAGTATTCGGATTTTTATTATAAACTCAAATAGCTTCACTTCAAAACTTCATGGAAAATCTAAAAATAAAAAAAAGTTTAAAAATCTGAAGTGTAACTCAATATCTTATTTTTGGATCACCTTGTATTGTACGACTATAGATAAAAAGACCGAGTTGGAGTATAAAAAAAATCCAGAATTAATGCAATAATTCCAAGTTCATTATTTGAAAATTTTGCCATCTCGACCTCACGTGCACACAACTGCACTGTTAGAGCACGGAGAAAAATACTGACCGGTGTGAATTGAAAACACTGTGAGCTCATGTCAGCGAGAATCACTGGCACGTCACGGCACTGTCACGTCACGGCTGAGTGTGAATAGACTTTTAACATAAAATCTATAAACGTAGCCTACTATGATCATTAGTTTTACTGTCAGCAAAGTTCCTCAGATCAGCGTCCGCAAAGGGGCACGGGGCGGAGCAGATTGGTCAATCCTCGTATGTCTCCATGCTGCATTTGTTATTGTTTATAAAGTTTACAGTATTTGTTTTCATGATATCAGGGATATATTTGAGGAAAATATGATTAATGTTTGCATTGAAATGGATGAATCTTATCTTATTTTCTCAGAATAAATAGCAATATTTGCAATCTTGATTATTTACTTTAATATTAACTATGAACGCAGATCTTTCTGATATTGGTGTAATTGATATCTAGAATGTCAAGAGAACAGGAACAAATTCTCAAGATGTTTATTTTTCACGATACATCGTACGGATAAGGAATGAAGATTTTTGTTTACATAAAATTCATAGCACAAAAACCCACAAATAGTTAAAAAAACATATTTCTATCTGAGTAAATGAGCCGTATTCATAAAACAAAGAATATCCATGTACTTGCAAATTTTGAAGGAAATTCTCCAGATGGTATAATAATTTGAAGTAAATACTTCATATCCTTCAAAGCAGTGACATAAGTAAAAGGATCTTCATAATATTCACCTTATACTTGGCATAGGAAGCATATCCTTCAAAAATTCTGAGTGTAGTCAGTAGCAGACTCTATTTGTGCGATAACATGGAAAATAAATAATGATCAAATTAATACTACTTTTTTCTGTGACAAAAGTTTTGGCAGTTCTGCAGCTCTGCAGAACTTAAGGGCCAGCCGCCACTGATGTCTAATATCAATATAACCTAGAACTTGTACTCAGTGAAACAAGAAAGTTATTGCAAATTCTATTTTTTTGCAGGTTCTAAGTTTACCGGTAGCTTTACGACATATATTTGAGTATTTCTTAATCGCTGTAACTTTGAAGTTGAGTCATTAATTTTCAGATAATGATTGTAGAAGGAAGATAAACCAAAATATGTGTGTAAAAATAAAAAAAAAATAAAAAAAAAAAATTTACCTTGTTTTATGAAGTATCCTCCCGAAAAGTATTTCAGTGCGGACGTGTATTTGATCGTGAGGTCTTGGAGCACCGGCATGCCGTCAATATGTGAGGTCTTAAGTCAAATGATTCACGAACCCGTTGTACTACATTAACAAAGGCACGAGGGGTTGGTTGCACTCGATTGGGAAACCGATCCACATAAACATGTGCCATTTTTTATTTCGTTTGAGCCATGCAACAGACACCACTATCCACTACCGACTGACACTGACTGTATACAACTGAATGAAATAATTGTAAAAACATCGTTCCAAATTCTTTCGCTTTTTTGTTTCCGATGCGATGAACCGATAAGGCGAATTATATCCGTTGTCGCCCAACACGAGCACATAATATTATTATTGAGACAGGGCGGTACTCAAACTTCCAAAGGGCTATAACTTTGTTACTTTAATTTTACCAGAAAAATGGTAAAGGAAAAAAACATTTCTTTTGATCAGATCTACTCACTGTTAAAATAAATGACTCAACTTCGAAGTCACCCTGTATAGTGTGGATGTTTGTTCAGTTCCTGAACACCAAAACAATATTTGATGTATGGATATCAAAAATCCTGAATGGTTTTGTGGGAATATCAATCGACGGTGCTATAATAGTACTGATGAACGGCAAGTAAATGAATGAATGTTTGGAAACGAGCAATATCTATGAAATTTTTGGTAGAGCCTGTCATCAAGTAGGTGATTAATGGCCATCTGCAAGAGGTTTATTGGGAAAAACACACCGTAGGTGATGTTGAATCAGTAAAATCGCATATCAATTGAAGAAAATAATATAAACATGAATAAACAATGGACAATATTAAATAAAAACATTAATTTGTTCAAAAATCGAACACATTTTTAAATTTTGACTAAATTATATGTAATTTCCTAATATTCAATAAGCTGGTGATATTTCGACAAGCTGTCATCTCATACTTGACAGTATCTTGTTTTCAACATTTCATAGCTATTGGTTGCTAAAATTTGTTGATTGGAACTTGAAGGTCATTCGCTGTATTTGACGGACTGTTGTTACCCTATAGGTGGAGAATAACGGACTGTTGATTTGACAATCCTGGTGAAATCCACCCTAAATCAATTACCCGTTACAAAATTACTCAGAAATAAATAATGTAGTTTGTATACTACTACATTTTATTCAACAAAAAGATAAAAACTTAACAGCGATTATTGCTGGTAGTTTATTGGGTCTTGCAGTATCCTTCTGCCCATCCAGCTTGTTGGTAGCAAAAACCTGAGCAACAGTCTGCAAACGTTTGTCCAGATGGGTCGTAAACGCACTTCTCACCGTCAGATAGACATGCAGTAGCGGTGTGGAAGATAAGTGCAATGGTGGCCAGTACCAAGGTTGCCTAGAATAGGCCCTTCATGATCGACACCTGAAAAGAATCAAGAAAAAAAAAAAGAAATTATGGCTTAAAGTAACTTGGCGTTGTGGTAATGATTAACAGAAAAACTGGAAGAATGAGGGTAGTACTACGCATTTTTATGAGAATCATATCTGATCTTGTTTACTATTGTACTTATGCAGCAAAAATACTACCCCACTTAATTAATAATAATAAAAATAACATGTCTTTATTCGATTCTTTTACAAATAAAATTTGGTTTTGGGTAACGTGAGGTATTAAAATTTGAAATCAAAGACTCGACATGGTGGAGTGTTACTTAAGGTATTTCTCAACTTAGTCAGTAAGTAAATTTACGATCATGAATATAAACATAGCCGTTAAATAGTGAAGCAATAAGAATTTGTGACCAATTCCTATTAGTGCTTAAGTCTATACAAGTACATATACATGTTTAAATTTCGTGACATTTAATATAAAACCATAATACCATATAATATACGAGGGATGTCTTTTAAGTTTTGCATATGGAAATAAAACAACACGTTAGGTAGTTTTAAATGACTTTATTGTTTTTCGAAGTATTCTCCATGAAGATTAATACACATCTGCATGCGCTCGAACGAATTTTCGAAGCACTTATTCCACTCGTTTGCTGGCAGATCCAAAACGGCATTTTTGAATGCGTCAACTGCTTCTTCTGGTGACTGGAACCTTTGACCACGCAGTCTGTTTTCGGGAAAGTAAAGAAATCGTTAGGACTTAGAGATCGGGACTATATGGAGGATGGTCCAATAATTCCACGTTTTCTTCCCTTAAATACTGCCTTGTTCTTTGGGCTGTGTGCGAGCTTGCATTGTCTTGGTGGAGGATGATTCTTCTTTCGGGGTTGATTTTTCGAAGCTCGGTGATGACTTTTGGCAAAAAATGGTGGTATACCAATCCGTAATAACAGTTCTGTGTTCATTAAGAGGAATTGTTGGAATATGACCCGCTTTTGACACAAATGTCGCGACCATCTTTTTCGGAACACTTCGAGAACGGATGACTTTTGTTGGCTTTTCTTTACCTTGGAACACCCAAACAGCCGACTGTCGTTTATTTTCTGGTTCTTAACAGTAAATCTACGATTCATAACCACTAACAATGTTGTACACATTTTTTGAGTTTCCGGAATTGAAACGGTTAAGCGTTTTTTGACTCCAATTCACCCTGGCTGCTTTCTGCTCTTCAGTCAATAGGTGGAGCATCCAACGAGAAACTAATTTTCTTACTCCTAATTCTTCATGTAAAATTTTGTGGATCGAGGTCTTTGAGATGTTCAAGGACGCCTCAATCCCGCGATATGTCACATGTCTATCTTCAATGTTGAGTTTGCGCACAGCATCGACGTTTTCCTGGGTGATTGCCGTTTTTGGTGCACCCACCCTGGGATCGTCGCTAAGACTCACCTGTCCACGTTTGAATTCTCCATACCAACTGATGTGGCGCTTCGTTGCCGAAAACAGACAGTATTCTTGTTGCGATAATTGTCTCTGAAAGTTGTAATAAATTATGGCGCGAAAATGTTCTCGGTTGAGTTCCATTTTTCTAATGACTTGGTGATACTTAAAAACTCACTGTAGTGAGAACACTGCACGTATTGTTGTGAAACTTTGAATTTAAGTTTACTAAAGAGTAAGGTTAAGATTCTGTACTGACGTTCGATCCCTCGTAACATGAAAAATTGTATAGTCAGTCTTTTTCTAGCCGAATTTCTGAAAAGTGATCTCATATTATTAATATCGACCTAAAAAATTATAAAAAAACAATAAAACGGATTAAAAAAAAATAGGTTATTGTACTGAGATTACGGAGTGAGAAAAATCTAGCCATAGGTGCATTTGGGCGACTCGCAGGAAAGGTCGTATTTAAAGTTTTAAACAAGCTTGTGCATTTATAACAAATTTTTTACTGCTTCTCGAAGTAGTCAGAAAATTCTGAAACTGAAATGATGCGCTCAAAAATATTTTTTTCCATACTCGAAAAGGCTTGTGGCAAATAAAAAACGTAGTTCGACATGTGTTTAGTTTTTTGATCCCAAAATTCGAGCGGTTGTTATTGAGAGTCCATGAAGAGAAATATGACAGACCGAATGACTGAAATTAGAGTCAAAATGAGTTGTTTGTGCATTATAAAATGATTTTTGTAAGTTATAGTAATGGAAAGAATATTACCTGGTAATTTGATCTAAGCCAGCTGTATCACAAAGAAGTATTGATTGTTGCGTGGGAAAGCTGGATTTCAATATTTATACTGTTTTCCACCAGTTATCGTGATGATACAGCCAGACACTTACTTATTGTAAACAGGAGTTTTTCTTCGCGTTTTTCCAGAAGCTTATCTCTTTGTACACTCATACCAATTTAGCAAGTGCAAAAGAAAATGTTGAACCGTTCAGGGGAAACTCGGGCAAAAAGAACACCCTGGGCAATGCGAATTTCCTATTTCACATCCAAACAATTTATCGTTTTTTTTACACTGAAGCAACCACGCAGGTAGAAGCCTAAATGCCAGGACACCGCGGCTACTATGAGGATCCCATAGAAATTTTCTTAGTTCGATTTTTGAACTGCATAATTTCTACATCCTCGGCACAAACGAGCGGTCATGTCCGCTAGTTCTGGATGTACGAAGTTCGATGATGTGTTTGTGCCAGATCAAGTCATCGGTGATCTGGCCTCCGACCAGCCGAAATGGATAAGATGCAGATGGAATCTGAGCCTAGAATTTTGGTATCAGCAGCTCTTTTTGTCAGTAAGGCTGCAGTATACGGTGCAAAAGCGGAGGTAGTGAAATGCTGGAATGCAGGGAGGGCCAGATATAATCTATTTTTATTCTTAGTCAGGAGATGTGCCTGTTCAGTCTACAGTGGGCTGTAAGAACCCTGACCAGAAGATTGAGTGATTACAGGGTTTGTCCGGAAAGTAATAGGACTCATTTTCTTCCGCCATGACTGTATACTTTATCTGAAGTCACTTGAAACACTGTGAAATACCGGGTGCGTTTTATATATCTATATTTAACACTCTCTGTTGCTGCAAAAATCGCCAAATTTCGCAGCAAATATCCCCCGTATAAGATCAAAGGCAGTTTCACCGGTCCACGTGGAGTAAAGCACGCCTATGCGTGGACATAGCCAATGAGAGCTCCGAACAAGTGCAGGTGGCTACTGAAAATTGAAACAGTTTAGCCAGTGCCGTGTAGCGGTGAATAAACGTGTTTTCTTTAGTCTGTCCGTGTTTTTTCATAGATTTTATTAGTTTGTGTTTTTGACTTTTGAATACTCAGTTTACTTGTTGATTTAATTGTTGTGTTGATTGTTCTTGTGTGTCCTAAATATGGCTCTTTGGAGACCTTGGGAAAATGCTCCAAGCCACGAGGAGATGCTAGATGAACCTGTGCAGGCAGAATTCTTTCATAAAGATTTAGAGGAACAGACCCAAAGAGTAATCCTAAATATGTATGATTGTCTGAAAAACGAAAATCCAGATTCCTCGCAAAATCAAATTTTAAACAGAATTTGTATCTTGACAAAAATCAGTCGGTCTACCATTTATCGGGTTATAAAAAGGGGAGATGTAGTCAACCATTTCTTCCACAGAAAGCGCATAGGGCAAAAATTAAAAAGAATAGACGTGGGTTTTCAGGAAGATATTCGTCGTATAATATACGGATTTTATAAAGAAAATTTGGTGCCCACGTTGGAAATGATACGGGATAAATTAAAAGATTGTCCTGAAGATTTTTATAATTACAGATGCTTAGACTCACAGCACTGTATTGTAAAACTGTGTGGTTTTCAATACAAAAAATTAGATAAAAGAATGGTGATTATGGAGTCGTCTCGAATCGTTGAATTGCGCCAAGAATTTTTGCACAAAGTTAAAATCTATAGAGAGCAGAAAAGAAATCTGATTTACCTGGATGAAACGTGGTATGATACCCATGATGTTGCGCAGTACGGCTGGGTTGACGACAGCAACAAGTGCATTTTAAATGCACCATGCAACCGTGGAAAACGAATCATTATTCTCCATGCTGGCAGTGAAAATGGATTTATACCTAATGCCTTGCTGTTATCTGCCAAAAATATCAAAAAATCATGTGCCGTCTATCATGAGGACATGACCTCCGACTTATTTGAAAAGTGGATAGAGCAGCAGTTAATACCAAACATTTCCCAAAATTCAGTGATTATTATGGACAATGCGCCATACCATTCCCGACAGAAAAACAAAATTCCGAATACAGGCACAAAAAAACAAGACATTATTGATTTTATGAAGGATAAGGGAATGGAGATACCACAAAAATCAACCAAAGCCATATTATTGGATCTTATTAAAAGACAAAAATTTGAAAAAGAGTATGTTGTTGACAATCTGCTTCAGCAAAATGGCCATGAAGTATTACGTCTACCTCCCTATTACTGCATTTTTAACCCGATTGAGTTGGTCTGGGCTGCTTTAAAAAAAAAGTAAGAAAACATAATCAGACCCCTCAATTAAGTGAATCGCTATTGGCCACAATAAGAGATGCAGTATCTCATATTGCTGCCACAGACCTATGGAAGCAGTGTATTGTGTTTTGCCTCCTGTAAATCCCGTTGTAATTCCTCTACAAGATGACTCTAGCGACAGCTCCGAAGGCGAGGATGATATATAAATACCTATAATGTAAGTCTTTATATACCTTTTTATATACCTACCTGCTATGTAAATATTTGCCTATGTCAAACGTTGGAATTCTGTAATTTTTCCATTTCTTAACTTTCAGTCAACATAAATTAAACTCCCAATATAAGTATTTTTTATCCCAAATCAAAAAAATAAGAAGATAGTAAAATCCATTTATTGTGATATAAGAACATTATTATTATCGTTCTAAATAAATGACCGCACGCCTATGATACGTCATGAAATTACAAAGGACGCGCCGACCCAAGGTTTTTATGCTATTTCAAGTGACTTCAGATAAAGTATACTTCGGTATATTCGGTAGAGGGCGTTCCTAGCTAACGAATGAGCGGCTGGTCAGTTGTCTCCGAGTACTTGGAGAGTCAGGATAGGCATTTTCGCGCGACGTGTTTCTGTGAGTGGTGCAAGCCAAGTTTTACGTGGAAGTGCTCAGGAGTCTCAAACGAAGGGTCAGTCGGGTCCGACAAGACATCGCAGCCGACTGGATGTTGCACCACGACAACTCCCCGGCTCACACCGCCTTTCTTGTGAACAGCTACCTGACCAAGGCCGGCATCCCAACGCTTCCGCAGCCGCCCTACAGCCCAGATGTGGCCCCCCGGACTTTTTTTTGTTTCCTCGCCTGAAAAGGCCGATGAAAGGCAAGCATTTTGAGACGACAGAGGGGATCCAACCAGCATGCACCGTGGCTCTCAAGGCTATTCTGGAGAATGCCTTCAATGCTTGGAAATCGCGCTGGCAGCGCGGCATCGACGCAGAAGGAGCCTATTTTGAAAGTTTTTAAAGAATTGTAACGATTGGCTCAATAATTTTTTTTAAATCGACTCAGTCCTATTACTTTCCGGACAAACCCTGTATATACTTGTGTCCAGTAGCCAGTACGTGCGACGAACGTCTTGGCGTGCTTGCAGTTATCTCTATCTGTCCAGCTACGCTTTTTCTAGGTCCCTATTTGTTCTTTGCGGCATTGACCTTGGCTTCTGGTAGTGTTTTGCTACTTCCGCACTAGGATAGCTGTTCCAAGTGTTTTTAGGAATTAAAATTTACGCTAGTATATTTCTACTCTTTCAGCTCCGCTAATTCTGCACCTACACATCATAGATTAAAACTGAGAGATAATTATTTTCAACACACGCGTCTCTGGATACATCTTTGCGCCGCGGTCTATCCGATGGCCGTGCAGCGTTGTTATATTCGTCCTGAGAAATAATCGTACAAACGCAACGAAAATTATCGTACACCAGAGAATTTTTCTCTTGGCTATGGATGCTGTGATTGTCCGTAGGTGGTAGACGGTCTCTAGCTGTCGAACGCGGAGGTACCACCCGGCGGATCTCGTAGGCGGGGACAGAACCCTTGTATTTCCACATAGCGGTACGGTACCCCATGGGCGCTAACCTGTTCCTCAGAAAGGCTAATGTGTGCCGAACACAGTCCTTCATGAACTGATGACCGCGTTGAGTGGGACCTTCAGAGTTAACCTACTAGACGCCATACGTCTAAATCACTCCGTACGAAATAATCTTTACTCATCAATAAATAAAGCAGTTTACATTATATTATTATTTTATAAAACCAAAATAAAAACTTGACATCGGATATTGTTAGTGGTTTATTGGGTCTTGCAGAACCCTTCCGTCCACCCTACTTGTTGGTAGCAAAAGCCTGAGCAACAATCAGCAAATGTTTGTCCAGATGGGTCGTAAACACACTTCTCACCATCAGATAGACATGCAGTAGCTGTGTGGAAGATTAGTACGATGGTAGCCAATATCAGGGTTGCGTAAAATAGAACCTTCATGATGGAAAGCTAAAAAGAATGAAGAACATTAGGAATCATGATAAAAAGTAACTTGGGTTTCTGGTAACGATTAACAGAATTAGCGTCCAGTAAGTTGACTCTTTACTTGCAATTCTGTCATCAATCATTTTACGTTCATATGGATTATGATTCAAGAAAGATCGATCAAAGCAATTGCATGTGAGATATAGAGTCGACCTACTAGACACAAAGTTTATTCAAAAGACTCTGATGAAATCGAAACCTGACTAGGTATCTTCGTTTAACTACGCTATATACACCATATTGTACAATAAAGCCGTTTACCAGTCTTATTATTTATAGTAATTAGTGATAAAAAGCTATAAAAAACTAATAATTTCCAAAAGAAACTTTCCATTTTCCTTGTGTGGTCCAGGGATATGCCATTAAGTGCACTTTTTTTTTTCTCGAAAACTAAGCAATATACGAAAAAACTTCAAGAGAGACAAAAAAAGTTGTATTTCTATTTGCTTAATCGAAATAACATAATAAAAACTGGACAAAAGTTTTGTTGTCACCAATATTCGTTCAAATCAACTTAATCAACTTAGGACTAAATTAGCTCGTTAGTGTTATAAATACTGCCGCCAAATTACAACAAAATTAGGTAAGGGATGTTGTTGTAATACATTTACGAAAAAACTCTTTTTTTTAAATTTCAACACTTTGTATCTTGAGAACGAAGATTTTGCGGATCTATGTTTTTATGAACTTTTTGTCTTAAATTTACTCAAAGAATCGTCTTTTAAATTTATGGTACATACTCAATTAACACCCTGTATAGTAATGGAAAGAATATTACCTGGTAAGTTGATCTAAGCTTGATGTATCACAAAGAAGTGTTGAAAGAATAGCTGAATTTCAGTATTTATTCCGTTTTCCATCAGTTATCGTGATGATTCAGCCAGAATTTTCCCCTTAATATAAACATGAGTTTTCCCTACGATTTTTTTCGAAACCTTATCTATTAGTATTTAGTAAGTGAAAAGAAAATATTGAACTGTCTAGGGGAAACCAGAGCAAAGCGAGCATCCCGGGCAAAGCAAATTTCATGTTTTACATTTGGACTATGAATTGCCCATCGCAAAAAGGTACATAGTCATATTTATCCAATCTTTTTCAATGGCCGGCAATCAGTTGTAGGATTACCCACTGGTTTATTTGATTATCGGACAACAAAACGTATTTTCTCAACAAAAATATTTATTTTGCTAGATGTTGGTCTTAGGGCCGATTTCACCAACATTAATATTATGGACCAATGGGAAAATACCTTATCGAAATGCAATTTGACAGAAGCTGTCAAAGGTCTCTGAATATTAGTGATTTCTATTGAAAAAAATCGTGAAAATTCGACTGTATTATAAACAAGACCACTTTTTGATTCCAACATGATGCTTTTGTACAGAAAAAACAGGACAACTTTCATGAATTTTGATATATGTTATAGGTTTACATTTAACAATCCGTTATCCCCCTCAGCGAATGGGAATGCGGCAAATAATAGGTCGATTTTCTACCTGTTAAATTTCGCAGCAGATTTGGACGTTTGTTAATGCATGGCACTCTCGAATTTACCAGCTTCAATATACTGAAAGTTATCATTACATACCTGTTGAATAGTGTGGATTTGTCTGTATTTTGCAAGAAAATAGAATATAAAATACATTCCATCTAATTCCTCATCTTCCTTTACGTCATAATAGTAATCATTTATTAATTTATGCGTTAATGAATTTCTTCAAAGCAATAAAAACATTATGTCCTCTCCATCCTAAAACACAGATAATATGTGTAAGATGTGTCAATCCCTACATCTCCCTGATGCATAATGCAATTACTATGGACATAGACAAAAAATTTGAAAAATGTTTCACAAATAATGTCCTTTTAAGTCCAAAAATCATCAAAACTAGTAATGTTTATTGTTTGTGTTTTTGACTGGCGGTCGTTGACTGGCGGGGATATCTATCTGTCACTCGAGGGTTGCCAAGTCTAACGACGATCACGTCCCGTGGTGGAGGGTGCGAAATGAATCTTTCACATTTGTATTTTTTTCGTGAAAATTTACTAGGTATCATGATTATAAGCATCTTTGGTAGATTGTTCGATCCGGAATGGGAAAGATCTCCTATTTATGAAAATATTTTTGGTATCATCTAACCGTTGCAATCAGTGCACAAACACTGTGACATATGATTTATAGCATAACCCGCTGCCCTATCAATACAAATTTAACATACAGGTCGCCTAGCCGTGGGGATGCAGTGGTCGGGATGAATATCACGGCAGCAACTGATGATTTGGGCATGTCTGGTAACAACGTATGAAGTGAAACTCGCTAACTTCACAAATTTGAAGATTTTGTACAATTTCTTTGAAAATGATGAAAGATATGTCTGATTTGGCAGGGTCATGTCGCAGCCAAATCGCAGTCACTCTTTCTGTCACAGTCCGGATCGAAAGATGACGATACTCGTGAATGTATTGATACTTCTAAATATAGGATCGTATCGCGCATCCCAAGGTACCGACGGAGCTATTTTGCGGCGTCATGGAAATAATTTTAAATTTTCATTTGCATTTTTTCAAGTGTTGTGCAATGATTTTGGGAAAAATGTCACGAATAGTCTTATAAAGCATTGTAGAGTATATTTCAACAGTTGGGGCGGAACTTACTCCATTGGGACCAGGAGGGTGAAACGGGATATTAATGCACAATCTTGCAACCCTGTCGCACCCTCACAAAATGGCCGCTGACAACCACACAAGTCACCGTGTTGTGATTGAATAGCATGGAATTGAACTTTCAGAGTATGTTTTGTGACTGGTACCAAGAGTTGACAGATCCCACACATGTGTCATTCCTTGAAATGCAATAATCAGCTGTATTCAAACAATGTCTAATATAAATATAACCTAGAATGTGTACTCGGGAAAAAAGAAAAATATGGCAAATTTGTAGTTTTTTTGCAGGTTTTATAGGTTTGCTGGTAGCTTTAAGACACATATTTGGGAATTTCTTAATCGCTGTGAATATAGTGTGGATGTTTGTTCAGTTCCTGAACAACGAAAAATATTCAACTTTATGGATGTATGGATATCAAAAAACCTGAATGGTTTTGTGGGAATGTCAATCTAAGGTGCCATAATGGTTCTGATTAACGGCAAGTAAATGAATGAATGTTTGGAAACGAGCAATATCTTTTGGTAGAGTCTGTCATCAAGTAGGAGCTTAATGGCTATCTGCAAGAGGTTTATAGGAAAAAACACTCAGTATCACATATCAATTGAAGAAAATAATACAAACATGAATAAAAAATCAACAATAGTAATTAAAACATGAATTTAATTCAAAAATCAAACATTTTGTTTTCAACATTTCTTAGCTATTGGTTGCTAAAATTTGTTGATTGGAACTTGAAGCTCATTCGCTGTATCTGACGGTCTGTTACCCTATAGGTGGAGAATAACGGACTGTTGTTGGTGAAATTGGGCCTTAGACTTCTTTTATACTATCTATATGAACGGCTTTTCAAAATGTCTAACGCATATTTAAAAGACTTTCTTTGACATATAAATCAAGAGGATAAAATCGATAATTTTAATAGGAAAAAAGAAAACTGTTGAATAAGTTACTTCGGGATAAGCAGATAGAGCAAAGTGGATATCGTATTCTTTCATGTTTATATTTTTCTTATTAGTAAATTCAAAATTGCCATTCTGGTGTTGATAGTTTGCAAAATGTGATAAGAAAACACGTCAAGGATCCTGGTTGCTATTTTTGAAGACAGATAAATATAGAATCATTTCAGATGTTTACTTCAATTCTATATTGATTAATATTCCTAGAGCAGCAAGCTTGAGTACGATTTGCCCAGGTCTCCCCTATTTTTAAATTAACTCACCTAACTATATATAATCATATCTGTTACATAAATAGTCTTATTTATCGGAAGAATGCAGAATTCCCAATATATTTCTGTTTAGATAGCTTTCATTGGTAAAAAATGTAATATTCATTTTCAGAAAAGCTATGCGAATTGGCATTATAGGACCTCTTTATGGCATCAAGGATTTCAGGGTTTCCTTATTATTTTTTTGCTTGTATCTTGTGATATTTTTTGGTATTCAGTTTGGAGTGAAATAACTATTTTTGAAAATTTAATCTAATTTTCTATTGATCCTAAAATTGTTATATAGCGTTAAACCTCTAGGATAGAGACTAATCTATACTTAACATTCGAAATCAAATACAAATATTTATTTATCATTAAATTTATTATATTCATTAGCATATATTACCACTGATGGTTTCTCTACGCAAGAAATTTACTCCCGAAGTCACAATTTGGTTTCAAAAAAGGATATGGTACCTTAGATGCTGTAGGTAATGTAGTCACAGATATCCAAAACTGCTTCTCAAGGAATGAATACCTGAGAGCTGCATTTTTAGACGTCATAGGAGCATATGACTGCGTCGACCTGTTCATGCTAAAAGACAAGTTAGAAGATATTCTGGTTCCAAGTAATACTTGTCGGACTATCATAAAGCTCTTTCTAAACAGAACAATATTTCTCAGATCCAAAACCAACTCACTTCTGGGCCCTAGAGAAGTATCAGTAGGCCTTCCTCAGGGATCAGTTTTATCACCAGTCCTGTTTAACATATATACTAGAGATATCCACGTAGTTAACCCAACATACAATCTCGTACAGTATGCTGATGACTTTGTCGTTTACCTAGATAAAAAAGGATTCCAATCATGCAAATAATCTCTATTAAGCGCTATAACTTCGATAACAAGTCAAATGAACACATTAGGATTCAGCCTATCACCACACAAATCATCCATAGTATTCTTCTCACGGCACAACATTCCTCCAACAGGTGATATAGAAATCAGGGGCTCTCGATTTCCAGTAACAGAAACAGTGGAGTACCTTGGAGTTGTTCTTGAGCATACACTAACATGGTACCCTTTCATTGACAAAATAGTTACCAAGTGTCAAAAAGGTATTAATTTCCTAAAGATGATTCGACGTACGTGGTGGGGAGCAGACCCTGATATAGCGTTA